CGGCGCAGTTTGGGGATGTTGGTGTGGGTGTCGTTCAGCAGCGTCAGGTTGGCTTCTGGCAGCCTCAGCTGGTTGTTGAACCTCTTGAGGAGCTGCCAGGGCAGGTCATTGTGCCTGGGCAGGGACAAGATGGACACTGAGGAGTGGCCTGATGCTCTGCCCCCTCATCCTGGTTGTTATTCTATCCATTATCCATCCATCCCTACATCCATTATCCATCCCCCATCCATCCGTCCATCCATCCATCCATCCATCCATCCATCCATCCATCCATCCATCCATCCATCCATCCCTGTCCATCTATCCATCCCTGTCCATCCATCCATCCGTCCATCCATCCATCCATCCATCCATCCATCCATCCATCCATCCATCCATCCATCCCTGTCCGTCCATCCATCCATCCATCCATCCATCCATCCATCCATCCATCCATCCATCCATCCATCCATCCATCCATCCATCCCCCATTACCCATCCTCCATCCCCACCATCAGCCCATCTGCCCACCCACCTCTCCCCTCTGCCAAAAGCCACCCACGCAGTTCCAGCCAGGTCACTCCCAGGGGTCAGTCCCACGCGGGACCCCGTGGAGGACCCTCTCTGTCACCTTCCACCCCATCACAGCCCGGGGAGCCAGCCCGCCACCCCTGTGACAGACGTCACCGCGGGGACAGCCTGCCACGCACACCCCGCACCCACAGTGTCACTGGGGAAGTGGCAGCGGYCGGGTTGGGTCCCACTTCCCTCTCCTGCRTCAGTCCCCCCTCCCCGGCTCCCCSTGCCCCACTCCYGCTCCAGTGGCTGTCGTGCACAGCGCTGATCCTACGGGAACGCTGCAGAAGGTTTCGAGAACAGAGCAGGGACATCCTAAGAACTGAGCAGGGACTTCCCCCCGGGCAGCCCAACCCCGGTTTCCCGGCACCCAGCCCGATCCCACAGCGCTCACCGCCGGGGATGCCCGGGCCGCACGGCCGGTCCCRTGGGATCCCCAGGAGAGCTGTCCCCTGTCCCCACAGGGCCCTGCGGAGCACGGGGATCCCCTGGGACAGTTTTTCCCTGTTCCCGCACAGCCCCGGGGTGCCCGGGCTGGATTTCCCCCGCCGGGTTGTCCCGGGAGGATTTCCCAGCTGGGATTTTCCCACGGAGCCGGAGCAGCCGGGCACTCCGCGGGGCCGGGTGACCTTTGCTCACCCGTCGATGACCGGCGTGGTCTTCATGATGCGCTCGGCCTCGTCCAGGTGCTGCTGCCCGGAGCCGGGCAGTGCCAGCGCCAGCGCCAGCGCCAGCACCCACACGCTCCTGCCTGGCATCTTCTGCCGGGCGCTGCTGGGGACAAGGGGGGACCTGGCACCGCCGTGTGAGCACACGCACCGGGACGGCCGCCCCGCGCTGCCGCCGTCCCCTCCCGCCGTCAATGAATAACCAGGAGCGCTGCGTTACCCCTCCCTGGGTGCCCTGTGCCCGCTCGGCAGTGCCAGGGCTCCGCGGCCGCCCCCAGCCCAGCCCCAAGGGCCGTGCCGTGCCMAGGCCTCTCCTCCGAGCCGCGGTGACGCTCCCATCCCATCTAATGAAGCCCAGATTTTTTTTGGTTGGGAAAGTGCCAGTCCCATCCCCTCCTCAGCCTCCCCAGCGCTGGCATCCATCGGCACCCCCAGCTCGGCATTGGCACCCCCGACACCCCCGGCACCCCCGGTCCCGCTCACCCTGGCCCAGGGACACTCGGGCAGTCCTTTCCTGGGAAGGCTGTGAATTAAGTGTTCCGGCTTGCGTGCGGTGACGGGGCTGGGATGGGCTCCAGCCACCCCAGAGCCACCCCCCGCACGGCGCCGGAGCAGCCCCATGCCCCGGGGCAAGCAGCCGGGGTGGCACGGCCGCGGTGTGGGGCTGCTGCTGATCCTCCGTGTGTGCTCGGATCCCCCGCACTCCGGTCCCGCTGCAGCGTCCCGAGGGGAAACTGAGGCACCGTTATCCTGCGGATGCTGCGCATCCCGGCTGGCTCCAGCTGTGGTGTCCTTCCCAGCAAGAGGCCTCGGTGGGGCTTCTGGGAATGGCAGGGATCCACGTGGGGATGGCCGGAGCAGCTGGACACCTCATCCTGGGGTGTGCTGGGATGGGAACCCCCTCCTCCGGTGCCAGCCGTGGGGAGCTCGGGGTGCGGACGGTGTGGGGCTGGCATCCCTCGAGTTTCCTGGCCCCCTTTCCGAGGTGACGCAGCCCCGTGTTCCTGCCGGCTGCAGCAGCGGGTCCGGGCAAGCAGAACTCCCACCCCACCCCA